AAGAAAGAAAGAAAGAAAGAAAGAAAGAAAGAAAGAAAGAAAGAAAGAAAGAAATTACTGACCATATTAGGTAACCCTCCATTTCCTTTACTAGTTTTTAAGCTATAATCAGTTGGGGTGATATAACACATACACATTTGATAAGAAATGCTTGATAAATCTGTCTGCTGGATCCAAATCAATGTGGGTTGAGAAGAGAAAGGTAGAATACTGGGTTTGGAATCAGAAGACTTAGATATTCAACCTAACTCTATTACTTCTTAATCATGTGAAAGCTCTCTAAGGCTCACTTTTCTCATATACAACATTAGCATACTAATACCTGCACTACCTCCCTCATAGGATTGTGAAGAAAATGCTTTATAAACTGTGTCATATCTTTAGAGGAGGCAGCATGATATAGTAAAAAGAATGCTGAACTCGGAATCAGGAGACTAGGTTTCTAGTCCTTGAATCCTGACTTTGACATTTTTTTTTGTGATGATAGACAAATCATTTGGCTTTTCTGAGACTCAGTTTCCTCATCAGCATTACCTACCTCTGGAAGATGTTTTTTTATAAAGAAAGTACTTTGTAAACCGGAGATCTTGCCATAAATGTGAGTTATTGTGTAGTACAGTTTTCCATACACCGTACATTTAAGTGAACAGACAGATTGGAAGGAGTCCTGACTGAGCTACATCATCCCAAGAACATTTGTAGGTGAAGTGGACAATAGGACAATATAATTTCTATAATGATTGTTTTTTCACCATCAGTGACAGAAGAGTCATTCCATGTGTTAGACACCAAGGTGCTATGTGCCCCCCCAAAAAAAGGCACTAAAAAAGATGAAATTAGGAAAATTGTCTCAACCAGACCTAATACACCCTAGAGGAAATCTGTGCTGTAGTCAGCATAATCCTGAGAGCGTTGAGGGGTTGTTTTGCAAGATTTCTCAGAGTGATGATACCAAAAGAATGGGAAAAAATACAGATGATATTATTGTCCCAAAAAGTCAATCAAGAAAACATCAATAATTACTTAATCCTACTCTACTTTCTCGTTTTTATGAAATCTTTATGAGAACAAGCTACGCACACGTCAAGGGTATCTTTGAAATATGGGAATGAAACAGACAAGGTTTTGCCAACAATTCTCTAACACCATACCGCATCTTTATAATCATATATTGCCTGAAAGGTGCAGACAGGACAAGAGTCCTCTATTGTTTGTTGATCACAAAAGAGCATTTGATAGAACAAAACCAACATTAAAAGCTCTGGAGAGACGAGGGGTCTCTCAGGCAGATGGTAAGATCATGCAAGGATTCTTGATAAAGGCAACTACAGAGATAACTTTGTTCAGCAGTTCTTTGATTATTGAGATCAAGCAAGAAGGACTGGGAAATGTGTTGCTCATTAAAGGTGTTCTCTCTACTGTAATGAATGAGATCCTGAGTAAGGTCCAGATGAAAGAGAGAGATTCCCTGTGGATGGTAAAAGGCCTCCAGATGCTTCTAAATGTAGACAATATTATGCAAATTGCATCAAGCCCTGGAACATATAGGGCCTCTCAATGATATCTATGATTTCTTGAAAGAGATTGACCTCTTAAGTCCATCCAATGGTGCAATGAAAAGAATGATGAAATTGGAATCTTTAGACCCAAGTTTTAATGTTGGCTCTTCCACTTACTTGTGTGGCCTTGGATGAGTCATATAATGTCTTGGGGTCTCAGTATCTTTATATATAAAATAAGGGGTTGGGCTAGATGACCACTAATTTCTCTTCAAGCTCTAGAACTATGACACTATGAGCAAATGGATGAAAAATATTCATTGTCCAAATTATGATATGTAATTAAATGATCAGTCAATTGAGTTAAGCTATCAGTACATATATCTAAGACAGGTATTGTTGACAGATGATGAGTAGGGTCCAGAATTGATAGAGGAAGTAAGGGGGATGGATTATATAATGCTTTGAAGATCCTGAGCAAAAACCCAACAGCATATTTTTTAACAGAAATGTTCTCCTGGAAAGGTTATGCAATTATGAATCTTGCAGCACTACGATCTCTGAAGAATCAAGAACTTGGTGCTTTCAAGGCTAATAGAGAGCCCCAAAGGTAGGGAAAGATAAGTAGACTGTAATATATTTCCAGGAAGGTCAGCTTGAAGCCCAATAATATTTGACAGATTCTTACTCCCATTTGGGAAAGTCAAGACCTTCAGATTATTAGGGTAAGTTTTTTTCTAGCCCTGATGCTGAAATATTAAAGCAAGGTAGGTAGAGAATCTTCTGTTATAAACTGACTTCAGAAAGCTTTCAAGTCTTTTTAACGGGGTTGTTTTTTCCTTTACAACCATGCCTAGATTGTAAACAGGTGCTTTGGATTTTCAAAGAAGGGTGATAACTTTAATATTCTCTGGCAGGAGGGAAAAGTCTCCTTCATTTTTCTTTTTCAGGCATGAGATCCTGCTAAGCAGGTATGTGATACCTGCTTTCAAATGAGAGGGGGATAAAGCAATTCCACTTTGTTGTGGCAGCCTTGTTCGTAGATGCCAGCATTTGCATTAGAAAAACGGAACAGAACAAAATGTGCTTGGGCCCAAAGGTATCTGATACTTGCTGTGATAAAAAGGTTAGGTCTCGGTGGAAGCTCTTATTTCTTCTGCTAATTAGCAGCCCCTCCCTCACCTCTACCCCAGTAAGTCCCCTTCCTTCTCCCCTCACACACAAAAAGAAAACTCGTTAAAAAGCACAGGACAGCACTGAGACTTACTGCTGTTTCTTCAAACGCACACTTGCCCACAGAGGACTGATCAGAAAATCTTCACAATCCAAGTATCTTTAAAGAGCTCAACAAAAAGTAAATGAGGCTTTTATTCCTGACAGCCTGAAAGGACAGCTTGTCTCTCCCACATCTTTCCTTTCCTTACTGCTGGATGAGAAGCTCTTGCTCCTTGTCATTAACTATATCTATGTTAGTTCCCCTACATAAGGGACAGTGTGGTTTAATGGATAGAGTCAAATATGGAAAGACCTGGGTTCAAGTCCTACTTTAGAATGTACTGGCTGGGAAAGTGACACTGAGA